AGATCCACCATGTCTGCACTGGCTCTGAACATATTAATTTAGTGCCATGTCTTTTCCCTGTAACTCTGCGTATATTGTTTCTCTCTAAATAATCATCCAGTGCTTCATGAATGCTTTAAATGAGCCTACCTCTATCACACTTCCAGGCAATGCATTCAGACTCTATCGATAAATTCACTGATTTTTTTTTTTTTTTTTTTTTTTTTTTTTCTTGCCTCGCATTTGCTTCTCTTCCAAATTTTAGGCTGGTCTCAATCCATTTACAAATGGAAATAGCTTTGCATATCTACTCTGTGGACCACTCATGATTTTGAAAACTGTCAAATCTCCTCTTAGCCTTTTTCTTTACAAGACAAACTGTCCCAAGCTTTCTTAATAACTAGGATGTCTCTTCCCTGGAACCATTCTCATAAACCTCTTCTGCATTTTCTCCAATACATAAATTCTCTAAATTTTGGCATCCCAGAACTGTATGCTGTATATTCCAGCTGTAGTCTAACCAGTGTCTTGTGCAAGTACTTCATTGGTTCCCTGCTCTATGTTTCTAATCATGAAGTTTAGTATACTGCATGCTTTATTAACTTTCCTGTCTACTTGTCTTGCCATTGATAATCACTTAGGTACATTTGCATCCAGGTTTTTCTGATCTTGCACACCCTTTAGTTCCCTTTTATGCTGTCTCTCTAAATTCTTGGTATCAAAATGAATTCTCACACTTCTCCATTTGAAACTTCATCTGCCACCAATTCTGCCCACTTCCTGTATCCTTTTGAAGTTCTGTCTTCTACCCTGTTTACAATCCTTCGAAGGCTTGTGGCATCTGCAATCTTTGAAATTGGGTACAACACACTGATGTCTAGATCATTTATAGATCAGGGAAAGCAAGGATCCCAGTAATGACCCCTGGGGGATCTGCACTGGATATCTTCCAGCTGAAAAATACTCATTAACCTTTTTACTTATCCTTCAGCTAATTTGTACCCAGTTTGCTACTGTCCCTTTTCTTTGATTAATAACTCTATTCATTGTCTGTCTGTGTGGATCAAAGGCATCAAATACCTTTTCAGAGTTTATCAGCTATACTGAACTTGTGTGCTGTTAAATGATTGTGGTATGCTACCATTAACTTTCTCTCACATTTATGAATTATTTCACAAGCATTCATATTTAGTGATAATCTTGAACATTTTACTTAATTCAGCAGCTAACGTTATTTCCTTTGTTTTGTAATTGCCCATTTTCTTTGTTCTTTGGTTAGCTCAAGTTCACTTGACGGCTGATTGATTTAGTGTTGAGTGATGCCGTTAGTGAGTTCATTTCTCAACACTGGCTGAGGTTACCATGAAGGTCCTACCTTCTCAAACTCGCCTCTTGTCTGAGGTGTTGTGACCCTCCAAGTTAAATCACCACAAGTTGTATGCCTAATGAAAGAGTAACCCTATGGTCTGGTAGAACTAGCGACTTTACTATTACTCTTAAAGTAGAATGAAAGGATCCTTGCATTACGGTTGATGACCTTTAGAATTGTCAAAAGGAATCTTTTGCAAGAAATGGGCAAAAGAAATAACAAAATAATACACTTTACTACAATCTTCCAGAGTCAATTACTGAACTGTAAAAGATTATGTTCAAAATGGAGGCAGTGAAAGTAGATTATCAAATGGTAATTAACTGCTATAGTATTCTGGTGTCTAAACAACCATTATAGGTCTTGCACATTTTTACTAAAATCAATAATCTATTTGTGTTGCTATGTAGCAATAAGCATTGAGAATATTGATGATTTCTCTATCAGTGTCATTAGAAACAAAAGACTTAGAGCAATAAGTACTGTGAATTAAGACAATAGCTTTGACTTAGGAAACTTGACATTATGGTAAATGTGTTAAACTTTTGGAAGGATTGATATTTGCAAACAATACAATAATGAACAATCACTGAAATGAGAGCATAATAAATAAAGTGGAGCTTTAAAGTTTTTGAGAAGATTTGTACCTCAGGTTATGGATGAGGTTGTAGACTTGCTCGCCGAGTCAGTGTGTTTGATTGCGGACGTTTCGTCACCCTACTGGGTAACATCGTCAGTGCGCCTCCTGTGAAGCGTTGCTGTTTGGTCCTGCTTGTGATTTAAATGCCTCAGTTTTGCTAGGGTGGTTGGCATCACTTGCGGTTTTGTTTTTCAATGTGTTTGGAGTTCTGGTTGGAATTCCAGGTGTCCAGGAATTCCCTGGCATGTCATTGTTTGGCTTGTGCTATTATGAATATGTTGTCCAATTGAATTTATATCCTTCTTTGTCTATGTGTATTGAGACCAGTGAGAATTGGTCATGTTTTTTGGTGGCTAGTTGTTGTTCGTGTATCCTCAGTGCCAGTTTTTTTCCAATTTGGCCTATGTAATGTTTCTCACAGTCCTTGCATGGTATTTTATATATTACGTTAGTTTATTGGTTGTGGGTAATGGTAGAATATAAGAACAGCCGAGAACACCTGACCAGCATATACAGAAAGACCACCTATGTGGCCCAGATACTTACTTGCACCAGCAACCACACTGGCACCCATAAATGGAGCCGTATCAAGTCGTTATTAAAACGAGCCACATTACACTGCAGCAATCTGAAAAAATTGCTCAAAGCAAAACAGGAGCACTTTTATACAGAGGTTTTAAAAGGAATAGATACCCAAAAAAGCACAACCTGCTGTTACCTCCGCAACAGACCACAACAACATAGGCAGGCAATGGCCTAGTGGTATTATCACTGGACTGTTAATCCAGAAATCCCAGATAATGTTCTGGGGACTCGGTTTCAAATGCCGCCATGGAAGACGGTGGAATTTGAGTTCAATAAGTATCTGGAATTAAGTATCCAACGATGACAGTGAATCCATTGCCAATTGTTGAAAAACGCATCTGGTCCTGGTCCTGGTCCTGCTCCTCTACTGCTTGGCCTGCTGTATTCATCCAGCTCTCACCTTGTTATCTCCGATTCTCCAGCATCTGCAGTTCCTACTATCTCTGGTTCATTAATGTCCTTTAGGGAAGGAAACTGCCTACATGTGATCTGGCCTACATGTGATTCCAGATCCACAGCAATGTGGTTGATTCTCAACTGCTGTCTAGGCAATTAGGGATGGGCAATAGATGCTGCCTAGTCAGTGATTCCTTCATCCCATGAATGAATAAAGGAAGAAGACACAACACAGCCAGACATTAGTTGCCCTACCGTACATCACAGACATATCTGAGATGACCGCAAGACTACTCCGATCCCTAGGTATCAGGGAAGCCCACAAACCAACAACCACCTTGTGACGGCTACTGCCAAACATAAAGGATCCTATACCCACAACCAGCAAAACTAACGTAATATACAAAATACCATGCAAGGACTGAGAAACATTACATGGGCCTAACTGAAAGAAAACTGGCAATAAGGCAAGTATAATAGAATTGAATCACTATTGCATGCTACTATTTGTTAAGGCAAGTTGCTGTTAATAAGTTCTTCACAATGTCATTCCATACCTGAACACTACTGTGACATACCTGCAAAGCTTCATTTCTGCCTACATTAAACTATGTTCCTTCTCACGGTCAATTTTTTTTTTTGTGTGGCTTCTACAAGATGGTGTTTATAATTTTACCTTTCTTAGGGACATGCGTAACCTTAATTAATTCTTCTCATTATTTATCCATACGTGGGATTTCTTTTTTGCAGTAATGTTACTTCAAACCACTTTCATGTTGTTTAATATTCTGCACTGCACACTTCCTTTGCATATGGGTAACTTTTCACTTTCATCTATCCTATTTTTCAGTCTTTCTAAAGACTGAACTAATTCTGTTTTTATATGAATTCATGGGATTTGGGAATTGCTGGCTAAGCCAACATTTATTGCACAACCCTAATTAAGCTTGAGAAGGTGGTGACATCACCATTTTAAAACCTGGAAATCAGCTCCATTGCTTTGTTTAGCCATCCAGAAACCCTCGCAAGTCATTTTTAAGAACAAAATTGCAATACTACCTAGCTTCCCTGGAAGGGCAGCTTAGCTTAGAACGCCCCTTTGGAAAGATTGAGTTAATGCAGAGAAATACTGCAGTTTCTCTACTGTGTGGAATTTTGAGGAACAGTTTCATGTAGCTTTTATATTAAACAATGTTTAAAACAGTGGGGGTGTTACATGTCTAGAAAAAGCTAATTTTTGATTAGCATGTGTGTTGTCCTTTCTGTAACGTTTTAAAAATTTCTAAACCAATTGTAGTAAGAGGACTTTTCACTGAAAATATTTCTTGGGGTTACTGGTTTCCAGAAAAACCTAGTTTGTGTGGATACTGATTTTCTTTGTGATTGAATTTTTAGGAATTTTAAAACTAATTTTTGCCTCTTATTTCAAACAAAATGCAGTGCAGTTGGTTTCCATAGTAAGATTAAATTAATTGGACTACCTGAATACAAATTTCAGTGTTGAGATTGTTAGTGTGAGGTATATAAAATTCTAAAGGTGATTGATATGGTGGACTTTAAACAGCCGTTTGCTCTTTTGGGACAGTCTCAAACAAGAGGTCATCGATATAGAGTGAGTGAATAGGTTCAAAACTGAATGAAAGAGAAACTGCTTCTGAGTTGGGAATCTGTGGAGCTTCACTGCCCCAGAATGCGGTGGTGGCAGAATCAATCAATAGATTCAAGAATGAAATAAATATGTTTCTGATGAAAAATGGCATAAAGGGCTATCAGGAGCAGGCAGGAAAGTAGAGTTGAGACTAGAATAAGATCAGCCATGATCATGTTAAATGGCAGAGTGACTTCAAAGGTGTAATTGTCTACTCCCACTCCCAATTCCTGCAAGACGCAGTGCCATTCTTGATTTTGTTGCCTTAAGAGGAATCTATCGGATGTGACTTCCAGTAATACATTGAAAATGTGGATCACAAGGATCTTAGTGTGCATTATCACTGATGTTAGCATAATCATTTTATTTGTTTTTGTTTTCAGTCACCAACTATAATAATGTAGTTGAAGCAAGTTCAGATACAGATGATGAAGATAAACTGCATATTGTGGAAGATGAGAGTGTGACTGATCCTGGAGATGGTGATACAAATGCACTGGAGGATGACTTGCCAACAAAGCGTTCAGTATTATCAAGAAAAGAGGAGACAGATGAAGAAAATGAGAGCACCAATTGGATTGATGATGATGATGGTAGGTACTTTGGGATTAGTGCTTTGAAAGAATAACACTGCTTGTCTCTTTAATCTTATATAGTTATTGGGGTTTAGACTATCTTGCCTGGAATGATAGTTAACTGTCAGCTC